ATAATGGATGGATGAAAGAGAAAATGTAATGAAATGCATCAACTTGTCTTTTATTAAAATGATAACAACTGAAATCCTATTGCATAAAAGAAATCCTAACATTATTCTAAAAGAAATCCTAAAATAATAAGAAACTTCCAACCAGCCTTATCATCACTCTCCCAAAATTGAGCCCCTATGCAGGTGAAAGATCTTTATTGACATTTTGCCCCCTAATTCACTGTAACTCTTTAGGCCTTTTTGGATCAACATGTTCTTGATTCTCAGTTAGAGCATTGACATTATGATTAGGCAATGGATTGCCACTAACATTAGGTATTGTTGCTCTTTCTTGATCAAAACTTACCATTTCATCCTTGATCAACCGTTGCACCTTATGCTTTAAAGCAGTGTAATTTTCAGTGGAATGGCCAGTAATTCCATAGTGGTAGTCACAGTGAGCTATATGATTATATCACTTGGGATAGGGTGGCTTGAGCAGTTCCACATGACTAAGGGCAATCAAGTGGTTGTTATAAAGTTCTTGGTATAACTCTGTATAAGTCATTAAGATTAGATCAAATGCTAGTTTTTCTCAAGTAATTTGTTGCTCTCGTGAACCACTTGTTGGGCTAGTAAAATGGGTCTGAGGTCTCGAGAAAGGTTGAATGTTAAGGTTGTACGTGGGAGCTTAGGGGCTAAAAACAGGTTGGTATATGGATGAGTAAGATGGTTGTGGTATGGGCTGGTATGAGGTATTGTTCACAGTAGGATAATATGGAGAGTAATCTTGTGGTGGATAGGGTTGATATCCTTTAAATTGTCTATCAAAGTTCACAACTTAAGCTTCAGTCTTTTTCTTCTCTGATGCCTTCTTGGTTTCTCCTCCTTTCAACTTGCTATTTTTAATGGCATTCTCAATGATTTCACCTGAGATCACCATGTCAGTAAAATTTTTTATTGTATTTCCTACCATTTTTTTATAATAAAGAGATTTCAAAGTGCTAACAAACAGTACTGTGGTCTTTTTCTCAGTCAGAAGAGGCTGTATTTGAGAAGCAACATCCCTTCACCTTTGGGCATACTCTTTAAATGATTCAATTACTTTTTTTTCCATATTCTATAAAGAAAGGTGATATAGGGCTAAGTCGATGATATGTCAATATTGACTAATGAAATCGTGGGCCATATCATTCCAGGATAGAATACGAGTTCTATCCAGCTAGACATACCACCTAGCAGTAGAGCCAATAAAGCTATCTTGAGACACACGCATCAATAGTTTCTCATTATTAGCATGGGTTATCATCTTCCGATAGTACATGATAATATGGGTCTTTAGACACTTCATACCATCATATTGTTTAAACTCCAGCACCTTGAACTTTGAAGGAATAACCACATCTGGGACTAAATAGAGCCCAGTAGCATCTACTGAACTATAAAACCAATCCCCTCTATGGCCCATAACCTTTTTTCTAATAAGTTTATCTTCTGTTTGACTTTTGAGGCTTCTGTTCGACTTTTAAAGCTTCTAAAGTCCCTTTCTCTTTAGGCCTTAGCTTTTCTTTCTCTTCTGGATCACCCAAATTAGGGACTGGTATTGATTTTACTACCTTTTCAGTAAAGACTGGATTTATATAGCTCTGAAACTGTGGTGGATTTGAAATTAATGGTATTTCAGGGTATGTGTACCTTACAAGATATGTGAATTGCTGGGACGGTGGATCATATACGAGTTAGGCTTGATATAGCCTAAAACCAAAAAGGTATAGTGGGTCATCCACCTCTTATGATGGATGGTTTTGCTAGCTAGTACTTTTTTCTATACCTTTTCCCTTGTTTAACTTATTCAAAGCCTCCAAAATCCTATTCAACTCCTCTTCTAGCTTCTCTTTGGCTTTCTTTATCCTCTCAAAATGATTAAAATTTTTTTATTCCATCTATCTGACTCGAGCTCTTGTATTGTATTGGTGAATGGGGTTCTTGCTTGGTGAATCTATCTTTAAACCTTTCATACCACAATTATGATTAAAAATGCTATGCATGATATGTTGATGCATAAATGAAACGTGTCTTTCCATGGATGTAGGTATGAGATGTGGTAAACATTCCCTATATGAAAATGATGCAAATGATAATGTTAAATCATAAGCATGAAAATGATGTATAGAATGAAATGATAATGATGCACGAAATGAAATGATATGAAAATGATAATGATGCAGGTGTATAAAATCAAGCAAACAAAATGGTTAGATCACTAACTGTTCTTTCTAGTGTCCTAACTTCGAGTTACATCTATTGATGGGTAGGAATGGCTCTATCCTAGGGGCTGGCCTCTTAGGAGTGAACTATGTGCAGGGTTAGATGATTTTGACCATTAAAGGTTCTCAAATTGTTCCTTACATCATGTTCGATCATAGATTAGTAAGGCATTCCAATCCTTACCCATCACAGGCTTCCAACGAAAAGGATTCAATTTGAGTAGGAGTATTTCACTAGCCATTACGGAGATTATCATCTCACGAGAGCGTAGGTACTTTACTCTCTCCTAAAAGGGATGGAGCCCAGGTATAGAGCTTATATAATGCAAATGCATGTGATAGTGTGTGTGAAGGAACATATATGTTTCATGCCCCAAAATAAATCAAATAAGAAACAAAACGTTATTAAACAAATAATTACAATTTAAGACCATTAGACCAAAAGATAGGATAAATTCAAAAATTATGGCTTGACTCTCTAGCATCCCTAGTGGAGTCACCAAATTATCATAATATATAGATCCGTAAATCTATTGCTAGACTTAACAAATGGAGGAGCCGCCACCAATCTTTTTTAACTAGGCGTGATTGGTCACTTATGGAATCTATCCTCTTAAGGAGCTCCTAAGCATGATGAAGGATCCCTAAAAAAATAGATTCGAGTCTACAAATCAGAATAGGGTTCGAGAGTTTGGTTACATGTGAGAAAAGTTATAGCACCCTCACATGCCTATCCAAAGGATGGTACCATATTTTTTCAAATTTAGCCTAGGATCTTGATTCTATAATTCTTAAGACTCTCCATCAATCTGGTAGACTTCTTAAAAATATTTTCTCACTTCAAGAGTATTTAAGGATCCCATTTGTTTTCTTAAAGAGGCTTCGTCATCGGAAACATTTTTATTGGTTTTATTTTTTGTTGAAAATATATCTAATTATTTCACCATTTTGGTCAAATTAGAAATTTTTTTTTTTAATTTCTAAATTTTTCACCATTTGAGCCTATTTAAAAATTCTTTTTTTTCTTAGAGAGAAAATAATATGACAATTATTTTTATTGAAACTTCATCTAAATTATTCCACCATTTGGGACAAATTTAGAGAAAATTTCTTACCTAGAGATTTCTTAGGAATTTACCATTTGAAATTTCTAAGAATCTTATTATTGGGTAATTTTCACATATTTTCAACCAAAATTTTATTTGGAAAAGAATACAATTACTTGTATTGAAATTTCATCTAAATTATTTCACCATTTGGTCTAAATTTAGAGAAAATTTCTCACCTAGAGATTTCTTAAGAATTTACCATTTAAAATTTTTAAGAATCTCATTCTTGGGTAATTTGTATTTAATTCCAAAATTTTTATATTTTTATGTTTTTTTGTTGAAAAATAAATATTAATTATTGTTATTGAAACTTTATTTAAATTATTATACCATTTGAGAAAATTTTATACAAAGCTTCTCACTTAAACATTTTATAAAAATTTATCATTTAAAATTTTTATAAATTTTATCATCGAATAATTAATATTTATTCTCAAAATTATTTTATTATTATTTTATTTAATATCAAATAATAAAAATTATAAAACAAAGTGATTAAATAAACAATTGCGCATAAAACAAGACAAATAAATAAACAATCAATTTTTTTAAAAAAATACCAAATAATTAAAGAATTTAAAAAAAAAAAAACTAAATAAAAGTAAGCTGAAGTACCAAAAATGACGTGAGCCTTTAGGATTCACCAAACCAATGTGCTAGGGAAAGCTTTTCTTGCTAATTACGTGCTAGCATATCACGTGACCTTTGTCTTTAAGCACCATGTTTCTTCATCCCCATTTTATTTCTTCCACTTTTTGACAAAACCAGTAAGATCAATGTCTCCTTAGTCTGCAACAACTTCAAAATATTCCTTCTTGAACCGTCGATCACTACTATAGAAATAGCCTTCTTAGCTTCACCTTTTCCCCAGAATCTGGATCAACCACCTCAGATTTTCAACCTCCTGCTGGTTTCAATCAATGCTGCTGCCTTGCACTGCCACCAACTATCGAAGACTGTCCCTGTTTTTGGCTGAGTGTTTTCTTTGTTTCACTGCTAATTTCTTGTGTAAATGTTTTTCCGCCTCATCTGTGACTGTGTGGGTATTTATAAGATCAAAGCCCTAATCCGAACAGAAATTCCAACTTAGCTCAAATTCAACCACATAATCTCAATCAAACTCAACTTCTTATTTTCTCGTTTTTTTCAGCTTTTTCATTTTTTTCATTTTTTTATAAAAAATCAAATGTAGACGCCCGGACAGATTGGGTGTCTACAGTTAGTTTATTAGTCGTCATGAAAATTAACTGGAAAGGGACTGAATAAATACCTGACCATTCATGCTAGCCAATGTAATTTATACCTAATAATTAACAAAATATTCCTTCGAACTATCCATAGCATCTTTCTTAATATCATTCCAAGTCCTGTTGTTTCTTATGTTTGCGTCGGTTCAGTCATCCTATGTTTTTGCTTCTTCAGCAGCTACTGCACCTGGTAAAGAAGCAGAAACTCTTCTTAAATGGAAAGCTAGCGTTGACAACAACACCCAAACATTGTTCTCTTCTTTGTGGGTTGGAGACAGCCATTGCAACTGGGTCGGTATCACTTGCAACAAGGCTGGAGGCATCACCAATTTAAGCCTTCCAGACTATGGGTTCAAAGGGACACTTCATAGTCTCAACTTCTTGTCTTCCTCAACCTGATGGGTCTTCACCTTCCTAACAACTTACTGTATGGGTCCATTCCCTCACACATTGGAAATCTTTCCAAGCTCATCATCCTTGACTTGTCATTCAATAGTTTCTCTGGGAATATCCCTTCTGAGATTTGCATATTGAAAAGTCTTGAGTGGATTTCCTTAGCAGAAAATGAGATCACTGGTCCAATCCCTGCCTCTATAGGAAGCTTGCATCATTTATCCAAGCTTTACCTTAAGAGGAACAGACTCTCTGGTTCTATACCTGAACAAGTTTGTAACCTTTCCAAGCTCACCGAGCTTGACTTGTCACAAAATAATTTCTCCCGAAATATTCCATCTAATATAGGAAGGTTATTGAGTTCACTTTCTCAACTTATTCTCAATGCAAACAATCTCACTGGTCCAATACCTATATCTATTGGAAGCATGCACAATTTGTCCCGACTTGTCCTCGTTGAAAATAGGCTCAATGGTTCCATACCTAAAGAAGTTGGGATGATGAGGTCACTTGTTATGCTTGATCTTTCAGTGAATTACATAACTGGTCCTATCCCACCATCTCTGGGAAACCTAAGTAACTCGGTATGGCTTTATCTGTATGGTAATAACCTCTCTGGTTCTATCCCCAATGAAATAGGACAGCTTGGATCTCTTACCACAATGCAGTTGTCAAGTAATAATCTCCCTGGTGTCATCCCTACTTCCATGGGAAACTTAACCAAATTGTCTAGTCTTTACCTTTTTGAGAATAAGCTTTCCGGATCAACACCTCAAGAGGTAGGGATGCTTGTATCTCTTATAGAACTTTTTTATCTGATAACAATTTCTCTGGTTCAATCCCTGCTTCCATAGGAAACTTGACTAGCTTATCTATTCACTACCTTCATAAAAATATGTTTTCTGGGTCCATACCTCAAGAGGTAGGGATGCTTAAATCTCTTACTGAGTTTTCGTTGAGTATGAATAGTTTCTTTGGTTCAACCCCAGCTTCAATTGGGAATATGACGAAGCTTGTGGCATTAATTCTTTTCTAGAATCATTTATCAGGGCCAATTCCTTCAACGCTCAGCAATCTTACTCAGTTGCCATCATTACAATTATCATATAACAATCTCAGTGGTCCATTACCTGAATATATGCCGCGGCAGACTACTCGCTTATATTTCGGTTCACAACAACAATTTGACGGGTCATATCCCACCAAGTTTGAAAAACTGCAAAAGTTTATACAGAGTTAGGCTTGAAGGAAACCACTTCACAGGAAATATATCAGAAGCTTTTGGTGTGTATCCGAATTTGAATTATATTGCATTAAGCAATGTCAGATTTTATGGTGAACTTTCTCCAAAGTGGGGGCAATGCCACAATTTAACAAGCCTACAAATCTCCAATAACAAAATTTCTGGAAAGATACCACCCGAGTTGAAACATGCAACTCAGTTACAGCAACTCGGTCTCTCTTCAAATCATCTTGTTAGTGAGATTCCCAAGGAATTGGGGGCATTGACATTGATGTTCTGACTTTTGCTAAGTGGTAACCAACTTTCAGGCAAAATTCCACCAGAGATTGGAGTTCTTTCAAATCTAGAACATCTTAACTTGGCATCAAACAATTTAAGTGGGCCGAACTTGGAGAGTGCTCAAAGTTATTGAACTTGAATTTGAGCAAAAATAAACTTGGAGAAAGCATTCCACTTTCAGTAAGCTACATAAATGGTCTTCAAAATCTAGATTTAAGTCAGAATTTACTTATTGGGGAGATACACAACAGCTTGCAAAATTACATTCCTTGGAAATATTGGACCTTTCTCACAATATGCGCAATGGTTCCATCCCAAATTCTTTCAATGATTTGCAAAGCTTGACAGTTGTGAATATATCTTACAATCAATTAGAAGGCCCTATTCCTAACACTAAGGCATTTCAGGAGGCTTCATTTGATGCCTTAACGAACAGTAAAGGCCTATGTGGTAACGCCACTAGACTAATGCCTTGTGTTGTTGCTGCTGCTAGCAACAAAGTTGGTCATAGAAAAAGCACCAAAGTCATCATTTTCATTGTGCTTCCACTCTGTGGTCCTCTTTTACTCTTTATCATGGCTGGAAGTTTCTTTTTTCTTTGCCAAAAGAATCGAACCAGAAAATCTGAGTCAATGGAGGCACAACTTGGAGATTTTTTCACATTATGGGGATATAATGGAAGAATACTCTATGAGAACATTATTTTAGCCACTGAAGATTTCAGCCCCAACAATTGCATCGGTTCAGGAGGCTATGGAGCTGTTTATAAAGCTGCGCTACCCATTGGTCAGGTGGTTGCTGTGAAGAAACTTCTTCAATCTGAAGATAGCATGCTTATCAACAACTTGAAAGCCTTTGAAAATGAGGTTCAGGTTTTAACAGAGATAAGGCATCGTAACGTTGTAAAGCTGTATGGCTTTTGTTCACACCCAAAGAACTCTTTTTTGGTTTATGAGTTTGCAGAAAGGGGAAGTTTGAGAATGCTGTTAAGCAACAAGGAAGAGGCTGAGGAGTTGAATTGGAAAAAGAGACTAAATATTGTAAAAGGAGTGGCTAACGCCTTGTCTTCCGTGCATAGTGATCATTCACCACCTATAATCCATCGAGACATTTTGAGCAATAATGTTCTCTTGGATTTGAGCTATGAGGCTCATGTCTCGGATTTTGGCATAACTAGATTTTTAAAGCCTGACTCCTCCAATTGGACCTCACTTGCAAGCACTTTCGGATATATAGCTCAAGGTATTTGTTAATATATTTTCATATATTAAACTCAACTAAATTTAAAGTTTTAATACTTCAACTTTTGAGTTTAAACTTTCAAGTAATTATAGTCCTTTTGAAGGGAATTTGAAGAGAATTCATGTTTATTTAGTTTTTTTACTAATATTTATTTAAAATGATAAATAGAATACATAATGTGTTGGTATAATTTTTAATTAAATTTTGCCATTTCTTTTCAACATGTATTATTCTTGCTTAATAGAGTATTAATTAAATATTTCTTTATGAAGAGTTGGCTTACACAATGATGATAGATGAGAAATGTGATGTCTATAGTTTTGGGGTGCTAACAATGGAAGTTCTCATGGGGAGGCATCCGGTGATCTTTGTTCAAGTTTATCAGCATCAATACCTAATCACCAACAGATTTACTAAAAGAAGTGATAGACCAACGCCTCTCATCTCCAGTAAACCAAGTCTCAGAGGATGTCGTCTCTACTGCAAAGGTAGCATTTGCATGCTTGAATGGCAATCCCAAACTTCGGCCAACCATGCAACAGATTGCTCAAGCCCTTAGCTGTCGATCGCTTCCATTGTCTAATCCTTTCTCAATCATAAAACTGGGAGAATTGTGGGATTATGGATTCTGCAGTGGCTAATTAAGGTGCTATCAATATGGATAATAATTCTAGTTACTTGTATTTGCTTTCAATCTATTTCTTTTTCTCTGCTTTGGGTTGAAAATGTTTAAGTACTCTAATAATAAAGGTTTTGTAATAAATCAGCTGTGATATAGAATAGTCATGTTTAAGCACTCAATTTGTATGTTTAGAATTTTCTATTTCTAAAATATAAGTAATGGTGAAATGAAAAATTTCGACTTTTAGTATCAATTGTAATATAATGCTTTAGTACTGATTTGATATAATACTTTCACTTTGGAATTCTACAATAGTGCTAATATCACTTTTTTTTTTTAATTTGTATGAACAAACAACGAATACAACGGGTGAGTACATCAAATTATAATAAATATAACTTTACACGATAACCTTTTAAGTTTATTTACTTACAATTTATTCTTATACAAATTATTTCTCATAATTTCATTTTTCTGACCTTTCTTCATTCTTTGCCTTTTAAATAATTCAAAATTTAATTGTAATTGTATTAGTATACTTAAACGGATTTGATTGATGATTTTGAAGTGTATACCTTTGTAAATTTTTTTTTGCTTAAAATGCTAAAAAATGTTGTACTTTTTTCCACTTTCTCAAATAAACTTTTATATTTTTTATCCGATTGAAAGCATAAAACACTATTTTTATTTAATTAAGCCATATTTTGTATGAAAACCACTAAAATCCATAATTTTTACCTCGTCAACAGTAATCATTATCTTTGTTAAATTAATTTTCACATTGCAAAATATAAAAGCCACATTAGCTTTCAGAGAGCTTTTTTATTTTTAATTATATGTCATGTAGATGTTGGCATCATACAAAAAACTTCAACCATTTGTTGATCTGGTAAGAAATAATAATAATATTTTTTTTTTTGCAACATTAATCTAAAACAAGATCTTAATGGAACGCAATAATACTCTTAAGGATTTAATCAGACAAAAATAATTTTAAGGACTTAATTAGATATAAGAGAAGGATGAAGGGTTATTTGAAAATTTCAAGGGCTTATTATCACAAAATATTTTTTATTTTTAATATTTAGTTATAGCCGTGGTTTGATTGTAATTAAATTTAATCCAAAATGTCTAATAATAATACATAGCCAACCAAATACCAAATATAATTATTAACAAAAATACAAAACATTTTTTCCCAAACTGAAGTTTTGAGTTAAAAAAAATGTTTTCAAAGTTATCCTAACCACATTTTGACAACATTTTGTTTGTTGATTAAGCCTTATTTTATATGAAGGTCCCTATGTTGTTTGTTGCATTTGTGTCGATGCCTATTAAAGAAAGAGAGGAATTTTCACCATCTGCATTGTGATCTTCACCATCAACCCTTTAGAAATTAGAGTAGCTATCGAACAGTTATATATAATTTTTTTATGAACCTTACAATTGCCAAATTATAATTGATTTGTTATATTACAGTAATTATAGTATATATGTTCTTAAAAAATTATGCATATTCTAGGATTATTATGTAATTTTTGAACTTAAAGACTGAGGAAGGGGCCTCCCATGGCTTCAACGCTGTTCATAGCACTCCAAGTTAAAGAGATATAGATTTGGAAACAATAGGATCTTTATATTAGTTGAAGATTAATTGATGATGTGATGGAAGAGGAACTCTTCAATTTTTGTAATCCCAAATCAACAATTGAAGAAACCACATTAAATATATAACAGCCATCAGTCTTCAAGTTTCATATTCCACTAGATGTGGGTGTTCCATATTCACTAAATGCTCTATAATTTCACATAAATACCTGACCATGCTAGCCTATGTAATTTATTACAATTAACAAACCGTCATCCTTTTTGAACTATCCAAATCCTGGCATCTTTCTTAATACCATTCAAAGCCCAATTCTTCCTCACACTTGTCCTGCTTCAGTCGTCCTCTGTTTTTGCCTCTTCATCCTCCATTGCTGCACTTGCAACTGGTAAAGAAACAGAAATTCTTCTAAAATGGAAAGCTAGCCTGGACAACAACACTCGAACTTTTGTCTCTTCTTTGTGGGTTGGAGGCAGCCATTGCAGCCGGGTGGAATCAGTTGCAACATGGCTGGAACCATCATAAACTGGGATTTAAATTATGATCGCAGTCATATTTTAGGTCATATCATATTTATTACGATTATATAAGTAACAAATAAAATGATGATAATTGCATTAATTTCAGTTGTAAATTATTTTCTATTTTACATAACTTATCATAAAATAAACTAAATAATTTTTATAATCATAATAACATTTATTTATGATACTTAAAGTAATTTATCACTTTTTAATTCTTTCATTTATATGTTAAAATAAAATTTTTAGTTACAACTGATAATTATGGACCTGAATATTATAAACACATATTTAATCTTATTTTAAAGAATGATGATGAACATTAAAATTTTCTTTTATAAAATATGATTATTTGGGTAAGGGATTAAAATATAATTCCTTGAACATAGGTACTTGTGTTTTATCATTAAATCAAATACACAAGTGTAACATTTTAAATAATTAATTAACAAAAATAATGTAATAATTAGCGACATAACCATAATCAAACTTACAGAAAAGATTCAATTAACAATAACGTTAATAATATTAAAATTATATAGTAAAATTAATTCTTTTAAATAAAATGATTATACATACATTAAGTTATAAAAAAATTAAATTAACTAATTAAGAATTAACATCCCTCTTAAAATTCCATTGAAATCATTAAAATTTCCCTAATGTATATTTTCCATCCATATTATTTTTCCCCCCAACCATTTCACCTAAACAAAAAAAAAAAAAATCAATTCTAATCATTAAAACCACGTGACATCATTATTAGCATTCACTTTATAAACCAAAGTCTTAGTAAATTCCAAATCCAATTCTTTCTCTTCTTGCAAGTAGTAGAGCATGGTCTTTAGCCTTCAAATCACTATCCCATTTTCCTTTGTTTCTTGCTCCTCCTCTGTCTATTTTTTTTCTTTCCCATATTGCAATAGAGTCACCAAACACAACCAATCAACCTCATGTCTTGCTCAGATCTTCATTGCCTTTCCTTCAAGAGATTTTAAACTACAATGTCTCATTTATGTATCCCTCTCAAGAGTCAAATTTGGAGAATATAACATAGAGCATAGCCTAAAATCAATGGGTATACAGGCTATATGAGAGTTCTTTCCTAGAACCCATAACTCAAATTTTCAAAAATGGTATTTATTTTTTTAACATGAATTATTTCTTTTTTAGTTTGATTGAGACTTAAATTTGTTGGATTTTGACTCAATTGTTTAAAGTTAGGGTGGATTTTCTTCTCTAGTTTGATTTTGTATATTTTGTGATTTGATTTGGAAAATATGAAAAGTAGAGATGTTAATGGGTAATGTACAGGCAAGATAGAGCATTCCCCATCCCAAATCCTTGAATTTTCATATTATATCCATCTTTATACTCATATCCAACAGATATTTTCAATTTATCTTTATCTCTATCACTGTGTGTATTTAATGGGTATAGATAATCTTCATACCCATAGCTTTAAAAAAAAAATTAAAAACTAAAATTCTTTTAGCTTTTTTTATTTTTATCTTGTATATTTAGGTAAATTTTTATGAATATACATTAATATATTTTTTTAATAAAAATATATTAATTTTAATTAATCTAAAATAATAATTTATATTATTAATTAAAATTTTATATACTAAATATGTAAAAATATATGCAGTGTACGAGTACAAGACATGTGTTATATTACCCATCCTCATCTTTTTACTCAATAAAAATTTAAAATCATACCCATCCTCATCCTCATCCATAATATAATGCTTATCTTTATCCTCATTCAAGTGAAAAATCGAGTTTCCCATTTAGTATGGATAAGATTTATATTCTTGATGAAATGCAGCTTTAATGTCTTGTTACAACTATAATTGGTCATTTTGCTACTATTTGCAGTTGCAAAGCTTGCTATGAGTGTGATTGCCATTTACAACCCTATTGTGGGTGAATAGCGATGGTGGATGGTGCTGTTACCACTAAATAGTGATCGCTACACTGCAATGCTGGCATTATTTGAAACCTTACCAATCTAAGCCTTGTAGAATATGGCATGAGAGGTACACTTCACATTCTCAACTTTTTTTTCCTTCCTTAACTTAACGGTGCTTAACCTCCATAACAACTCATTGTTTGGGCCAATTCCCTCACACCTTGGAAACCTTTCCAAGCTCATCTTCCTTGACTTGTCAATCATTCATTTCCCTAGCAATATTCCATCTGAATTGTGTAAAATAAATGTTTCATTGTATGTGTGTATGATGCATATGCACAAAATGAAATGTTATGCAAGTATGATAAAACAAAAGCAAAAGAAATAAGATCATATGTAGATATCCAATTTTATTTGAAATAAGTTGATGATAAGTTTTAATCAATTTGATTGTTTTAATGTTGTATTAGATTTTCACACTCATTGTGCGTGAACTCGGCCTCGATTTAATTTAGTTTTGGATTGCTGAAACTTGAGGCCCAACATGGATAAATGTTTTTGACACCCATCATTAGCTTAATTTAAAGCACAATGTGGTCCATTTAAAGGCCCAAATGCAACCCATTATATTAGCCCATTTTTACACAACCTATTATATGGCCCAATAGCACAACCCAAATTGACCATTTTAAATGCCCTAAAACTTGGCCCTTTTGGACAAGCCCAAAGCAAAAAAGAAAAGGTGAAGGCCTATCCGAATAGGCCTGATATAGTTTTCTGAGGTCCATTTATTCCAAAGAAAGGAGCTGATATAAAAAGGAAAGGATGGGTTTGATTTAAAAAGGAAAAGGCTAGGGGGCTTATAAAAACGAAAAAGGGTTTTGGTAGCAAGAAAAAATGGGGGAAAGATTTGAGGATAAAAAAAAAAAATAGCAAACTAAGATAAACAAAAAACAAATGTTTTCAGAGGATAGAGA